GGACCTTTGTTCGAAAGTGGTGAGTTTTTCTCTTTTTTTTGGTTCCAATCCCCCTCTTCTTTTGTTGCATGCCGATTTATGGGTGTTTTTCGGGTGAAATCATAAGTCATTTTTGTAGGGAATGATTTTCCTATATTTGAATAGTGAAATCCCCGATATTTTGGGATTTAACCCATATTTTAATGGGTTTTTTATTTGATTTGGTGTTGACTAATTTGGTTGGATTTAGTTTACTATTTGGTCAGATTTGATGACAAAAGTAGTTATGGGGTTCATCGACGACGGTTCACGCGACGGAGATGTTAAAGAGTCAGCGCATACATCTCACGCACCCATTAGACAGTTCATCTTACTGGCGGCAGTCGTTGTTGTTGAGGGTTTAAGAAACCCTAAATTCACATCACTTATCTAGATCATTGGATGGGTCTAGATCGTGTGACTTAGAGGAGGCGACATTGGGAAGGGTTACAAAACCCTAGATGCAGATGCGTGTGGACCATTGGATCCTTCACAGATCCAACTGCTGATGCTGAGCGGCGTAAAGATTGAGCGAAAAACCTTACCTGGTTTGACTCACAAGAGGGCCTTGTCTCATTTTGGGCTTTAACCGGGTGGATAGTTGTAGCGGGCTTAGATCTTTTTTTCGGCTGTTGGTTAACTCTTGTAATGGGCCATTTGTAAAGCAAAGCTCTTGTAATGTATTTGGACTTCTTTTGTAATATGAAAATAATAAAAATAATATTAGTAATAATAATAATGATGATGATAATAATAATAAAAACAACTCAGATGAAAATGGGTGTCAACAAGTGGCATCCCCAAATAATGACCCAAATCGGACACACAACAAACACCCAGCAAAGAGCTCAATCGGAATTGTTCTGCTTGTGAAGTAGAAGGGCTAAAGAATATACTTGATATATCATAATTTACCTTTTTTCCTAAGCAATTTTCATAGAGATCAAGAATAATCTTTACACGATGGAATTCAGAGTCCATCGTATGAAGAAAAAATAGACAATCATCAGCGTAGAGTAAATGTGTCACTCTTGGCCCTCTACGACAAGTACTTATGTCATGTAGATAATTTGAGGGTTGTTCAAAATGGAGAAGCGAGACAACCCTTGGGCACACAGGACAAATAAAAATGGCGACAATGGACCCCTTGTCAAAGTCCACGAGATGGTGAGAAATGGTCAGAAAGACTGACATTTATATGAATATGATAAGAAAAAAACGAAACACAGGACATGACCAATTAAACCCAACTCTCCACAAAAACAGAGATGAAGCAGCATTGCCCGGATAAAAGACCATTACATATGGTCATAAGCTTTTTCCGTTTCTAATTTCAAGGCTACGGTTGTGAAGTGATTATTCAATTTTGAGAGAATGAAACAACTTCTGCGAAATCAAAACATTATCTGAAATAAATCTGCCTTGGACAAAAGCACCTTGATTATCACCAATACAAACAAGAAGAAGAGGTCGTAGGCGATTAACAGTAACATTTGCAATAATTTTATAAATGACAGTATACAAAGCGATGGGATGAAATGCTTCAAATTAACTGGGTTTACAAGCTTGGAATAAGTACAAGTATTGTATTATTAACAGTAGACATGGACAAATTTCCTTCTAGCAAAGCAAGACATAGATCAAGTACATCACCCACAACTAAAGGCCAAAACGATCGATAGAAACTCTCCGATAGTATGTATGTTAAAAGTCATAGCAGCCGGCGGCTGTTTTTGGTCAAAATTGTGCAATTATTTTTGTTGAATTAAGCAAGGGATAATTATAACATTTAATCCATAGACTTTAGGGTATTTACAAGATTAGTCCTCAAGCTTCAACTATAAATACTCCATCCCATTTAGCTTCAAAATCATCCCAAATCATTCTAGATTTCTCCCAATACTAGAGAATTTAGAAAGTTTTCTTGAGATTTGTTTTCTCCTTTTTATCAAGAGATAATTGTTATTGTTTTCTCCTTGTTAGATTGAGAGAAGTTGTAATTCCTATTTTCTCATAGTGAAATTCTTCTATCGTTACACGTGGTTTTTACCCTATATTATTTGGGGGGATTTCACATAAAATTTGTGTCTTTATTTTCTCAAATTATCAGTTGCGATTTTGCTCTATCTGATAGCCGTATTCTGCAACAATTGGCATCAGAGCTAGATTAGAGTGTGTAATATCTACTTATTGTCTTTGTGGTTGCCACCAAAAGGTAGATCCTCCAACATAAGAAAGTAAGAAGGTATTACCCATTCTTTGAAGGTTCCAAAGAACTATTCACGATAGTGAAATAATGAGAGTTATCCGTAATAGAAGCTATGACAACGAAATTTGATATTGAAAAGTTCAATGGGAGAAATTTCTCATTGTGGAAATTGAAGATGAAGGTTATCCTGAGGAAAGACGGTTGTCTAGCAGCTATCAATGAAAGGCTGGTAGATTTCATAGATGACAACAAATGGATCGAAATGGACTGGAATGTTATGGCAAACTTTCATCTAGCATTAGCAGATGAAGTATTGTCAAGCATCGAGGAGAAGAAAACAACTAAGAAGATATGGGATCATCTCACCAAATTGTACGAGGCCACATCGTTGCACAATAAAATTTTCCTTAAGAGGAAATTGTACACTCTCCGGATGTCAGAACCTACTTCAGTGACGTAGCACTTAAACACGCTAAACACTTTATTTTCTCAGCTTACAGCCTTAAGATGTACAATAGGAGAACAAGAATGTGTTGAACTTCTACTTCAAAGTCTACCTGATTCGTATGATCAACTCATCATCAACTTGACAAACAATAATGTCACCAGTCTAATCTTCGATGGCGTTGCAACCGCTATTATACAAGAAGAAAATCGGCGCAAGAACAAGGAAGATAAATAAGTAAATCTGCAACAAGAAGAAGCGTTGACAACGATGAGAGGGAGATCAACAGAACGTGGCCAAAACAGCAATCACAAACATGGTAGATCAAAGTTGATGAGCAAGAAGAATTTAAAGTGCTACAACTATGGAAAGAAGGGTCACTTGAAGAAGGATTGTTGGAGTCTAAATAAAAACTCTAATCCACAAGGTAATACTACAAACACTTCAAATGATAGAGATGCTCTATGTTGTGAAGCGTCAACCACCATGGAAGGTAGAAAAAGATTTGCAGATATATGGCTCATTGATTCGGTTGCAACATATCACATGACCTCAAGAAGAGAATGGTTCAATCATTAACCTCAAGAAGTCAGATGTGTTTTCAACTTTCAAAAACTTCAAGGTGCGGGTGGAACTTGATTCTAGAAATAAGATCAAGTGTTTTAGAATAGATAATGGAGGAGAATACAAAAGTGAAGAATTTGATGACTTTTGCATGAAAGAAGACATCAAAAGACAGTTCACAGTGGCGAACACTCCACAACAAAATGGAGTGGAAGAGTGTATGAACAAAACCTTGTTAGAAAGAACAAGAGCAATATTGAGGGCTGTAGGCCTAGAAAAATCATTTTGGGCAGAATCAGTCAATATCACCTGTTATTTGGTGAATCGAGCTCCATCAACTTTAATAGAGATGAAGATACCAATGGAGATGTGGACTGGTAAACCAGTTGATTATTCAAACCTCCATGTATTTGGAAGTATTGTGTATGTGATGTACAACTACCAAGAAATTTCAAAGCTAGATCCAAAATCCAGGAAATGCAAATTCTTGGGGTATGCTGGTGGAGCTGTAAGCTGGGTTTCAAAATTGCAGTCAGTTGTGGCTACATCCACAATAAAGGCAGAGTATGTAGCAGCTACACAAGCCAGTAAAGAAGCAATTTGGTTGAAGATGCTATTGGAGGAGCTTGGGCACAATCAAGAGTATGTCTCACTGTTTTGTGGCAGTCAAAGCGCCTTGCATCTAGCAAGGAATCCAACATTTCATTCAAGGACAAAGCACATACGAGTTCAATACCATTTCATTCGTGAAAAGGTGGAAGAAGGGACGGTATATATGCAGAAGATCCATACTAAAGACAACATAGTAGATTTTATGACGAAGGCGATCAATGTTGATAAATTTACCTGATTTCTATCCTCTTGTGGCCTGTCAGAAACGTAAGTAACATGAAGGTACAAGGTAGAAAGAATGGTGTGAATATATGATTGTTCCAATCAAATCTTCAAGTGAGAGATCTCTGTCAATACCAGGTGCTTTGCGAGGATCAATTTGAAGGAATGCGGCTTGTATTTCTTCCTTCATATATGCAACGGTTAAGGATGCGTTCATACTCTAAGTTACCACTGGAGTCATGGTATGGAGAAGAGCATCAACAATAAGAGGCAAAGAAGTGCAAAATAAATCCGAATAACATTGCCACCGTCTCACCATAGATATAATCTCGTTTTTTAAATGGGTCGGGCCTTGGACAAAAAATTGTAAGCCCGGGCTAACCCGAATCATGAAAGCATAATATATATATATATTAAAAATGAGAATAAAGATAACAAAAGCATATCCTAGTAAGCCAACAAAATTCAAATCCCAGCTATGACTCGTATGATTTCTTTATTATAGTGGCATAATGCTACATTTAGTTTTCACATATTGTTAATTTCAAATCGTTAGTTAACACACGGTTAATACTTTAAAATATAAGTTTTTATAGTACAATATAACGTTGAAGCCCAAAATGTTTTAGAATAAAAAAAAGGTTAAAGTGACTATTATATCTAATGTTAGAAACATTTTTATCCTAAAATAAAATGTTAATGACCAAAATGACAATTTTAATAAATATTATAATTAAAGCTAAGTTAGAAAAACATATCGCTTTTATTTATAGAAAAATCATGATAATATTTTAATTAATTAATTAATATATTTATAATTTAAAAAAAAATACATATTATCCCCAAATGAAATTAGTCCACCCTCCCATCAATATTAATATATAAACCCATCTTTTATCAACATGTTTGATGTCCATCCCATTTAAAAAAATTCCAAATTAAACTGTCGTTTTTCACTTCTCCCTGTAGTTCAAAAGCAAAAGGAAAGGAGGACGCGAGTCAAAGGCTCAGCTCAACTATGTTTCCTTCCATCCACCCGGTGAGTTCACTCACTCTCGAATCTTTCTCAATCACTCAACTCAACTCTCTGTTTGGAACTCAGAGAACGCCCCCCTCAGAGGGGGGAAGAAAGAATTTTGAATTTTGTTGATAATCTTTTAGGAATTCCAAGAACAAGTTCTCGCATTCCGCATTGCTACTTAAAAGCGAAAAGTTATTTTCGTTTCGTTTTCTTTTTTCCTTGGATCTAACGGGCGTTTGGTGGTCAATCTGTCATGCATGCATGTGTAAATGCTAAACAGGGCCTTATTGCTTCAATTTCAGACGCATGAGGGATTAATATTGCGGTTGTGGCAGTTTTAGATATATCTGATGTAATTGCGGTCAATACGGGTTTCGCGGTTGTGTAGTTGATTTTTTATTTTTAAGAAAAAGAAAGCTGATTTTTTTATTAAAAAAATTAAAAATAGCGGAATGACGGCTGACTATTGCCGCTATTAGACGGTACCGGTCAAATTGCTACGGTGATTCACTGTTGTTGGTGTAATTCCGCTTCAGGCCTCTATTCTTCGTAATAGCGGACCCAGATGTTGCCGCGACCGTTATTCCAAAAAAAATTAACAGTTTTGTTTTTGTCAAAGGACAATCTAGAAGATATTCCCTGTGTTCCAGGTAGCTGATTATCTACTATTGGGGAGATTTGCTGGTTTCATGAATTGGGCGGTTTAACATTATTTATGATTGAAATCTTTAGGACTCTGTTGAAATACTCATGATAACGTTGCTTTTTTTTTCACTGACAAAATTTGTGGGATACAAATTCATTGCAATTCATTTCCATGTTCAATGTTTGAACTTTAGGCGTTTTTCTTTTATGTTGAAGCTTTGGTTGTTTTTGAGCTTCTGTTGTTTCGTCTGCCTAAAAGATTCCTTCATACTCAAGCTAATTACTCCTGCTCCTCATAGCCTTCGAGTCAATCAAGGCCCTTAGCTGCTGATTCCGTAACTCCAATGCAAGTGAGTCAGAACGAAGCCTCTTTGGATTCCATGGATGAAACGCAAAATGCAGGATTTTCTCAAGCCAAATCCATCATGGAGAGTTCCGAGGTTGTTTCGATTTTGAACTTTATTTTGCAGTGTTTCTATCTATGTTACTATAAAGAACAGTAATCTATTGTTGTATGGTTTCTTTGTACATAAGAGTTTGTAAAAATATGCAAAACTTCTTTCATTATACTTTTTTGTTTGTGCCTCCTTCTAAGTAAATGTTTAAAAACATTGATCTATGCAGAAACATCAAGAAGATCTTCGAATGTTGGGGATGAAATTCAAGCAGCATGAGGATAGCGTAAAACTTCTAAAGATTCAGAGGAAGAAACTACATGATTCTATACTTGATATGCAAGGTATACTTCTCTTATTTTCAATGCAAGCATGATGTAAACTCCATTTTGGAATTTAGAGAAGGAATTAAAGATGCCTAAATATTTGGCAGGTTCCTATCAATGATAACTGGAATGCATTATTTGCTGTTTGTACAAAACATAAACTTTACACACTTTCCGTTAGATTTACTTTATCAGGGATTTACATCAAGCTAAGTTATGATAGCTATATCACATTTAGTTGCCTAAATCCGGCACTTCACACACTCCAACCATAGATCTATGTTATTAATGATTGTATAATTTTGATGTCAGTCGTAATAGGTGCAAGTAATGTGACGAACTAATATTTGATGTTTATGACTAGGATGGCTTTGAGTTATATTGAAATGTGCTACATGGACTTAGCATTTTAGGGCCCCCTTCCCCACATTGCCTAATACTGATTCTTGATAACCATATAGCATTGCATATTTATTTTCAATATCTCCAGCTATCTATTGATTTTTTCTCAGTTATGCTTGGTAAGTATCAGTCTTCTAATGCACCTACGATCGAAAACAAGGACCATTCCCACCTTCAAAGCGAGGAGGAAACAACTGAACAGTTACTTCGGCGTGAAAAGTCAGCAGCAGGAATTTTGTATGAGCTGAGAACTCATCATGACACTCAGGCTTCTCATCTGACTTTGTTAAAGGATATACTGGGTGCTGTTGCTACACTTGGCAAAGTAGATGATGAAAATCTTAGTAGGTCTGTTTTGAACTGTCTTTTTTTTCCCCCCATCATTCATGTCCAGCAACATTTAATTTATTATCCATCTATGTTTGGAATGATGAATGTTTTTGCATAAGAAAGTTATAGCTTTATCCTTCCCCTGCCCTGGATAGTGGATAGGCCATTCATACAGTCCACTTCTGGAAAAAAAAGTGGAAGGGGGTGAGGGTGAAGATTTCAATTGAAGCTTATGTTTGGGAGGCTTAGTGTCCTTTTGTCTTGTCATTATAAATGGCGTCGGTGAGTGCATACTGCTTTCTGACATAAGGAATTTCTAGTGAATAGCCTAGCCTGTTTATCAAATAAGTTGACAATTGGGCTTCTGATTAGGGTTTTGTAACAATTGATCATGCTTATATGCAATTTATACGTGGTTTTTTACTTTTTTAAATGTAGGCTTCTCTCAGAGTACCTAGGAGTGCAGACTATGTTGGCACTTGTTTGTAAAACTTATGAATGCATTAAAGCTTTGGAAACATACAACTATGATGGCTGCATAGACAAAACCTCTGGTCTGCACGGGCTTGGTGCTGCTATTGGGAGATCTTTAGATGGCCGATTTCATGTAATTTCTCTAGAAAGTTTAAGGTATCAGTTACTCAGACTATCAGTTTGATATAATTTTTCTGGTTGCTATGGTTTATTAAAGATATTATAGAACTCAGTTTCATTTCCTCTCTCCCCCTCTCCCTGCAGACCTTATGCTGGTGATTTTATAGCTGATGACCCCCAGAGGAGGCTTGACCTTTTGAAGCCAAGACTACCAAATGGGGAGTGTCCTCCAGGCTTTCTTGGCTTTGCAGTAAATATGATCCTCGTGGACAGCTCGAACATATTTCATGTCACTGCCACTGGGAATGGCCTAAGAGAGACTTTGTTTTACAATCTGTTCTCCTGTCTTCAAGTGTACCGAACAAGGGCAGAAATGGTTCTTGCTCTCCCTTTTATAAGTGAAGGAGCAGTCTCTCTAGATGGTGGGGTTATCAGAAGCCCTGGTGTATTTTCTTTAGGCAGTCGGTAAGAAGCATCTGGCAAGCACCAGATACCGTATTCAATATGTATAAAAACTTGCTTTTCTCTTTCACACTTCATCAACTTTTGGGAATCAATTCACAGTTTCCTTGTGATGCATATGTTTTTGGGTGCATGAAGATTGTTGAAATTCCAAATCCATATTAGTTACTGTCGAGTCTCTCCTTCTCTGTGATATTAGGGAGGCGATAGATGTGAGATTCCTGAAAACCTCTGCAACATTAGAAATGTCACAGAAGTACATTGAAACTGAGAAGAAGATTAACGAGATGAAATGTGAAAAAGAAAAGTTGGAAGAGGATATGAAGAGGGCACTTGCATTATTGAAGGACGCCAAGTCCCATTTTGAAATAAAGAAGCAAGACTTTGTCAAGTTTCTTGCTATAAGCTCGTCGTATGCAACTCAGGTAAACTGAATTGTAGTCACTGAAACGAGATTTTTCCCTTTCGTTTGTTATTTTCTTTCTTTACAAATTGCAGCATACGTCCAGTTGTCTCTCACATGACATCACTTTCTTGGCAGCATCAGCTTCAGGCAGCAAGAGAGAGGTTGAATCCAAGATGATGATAACAAGTTAACAACCGAACCTAGCTAGCAGATTGGCAACAATGGAGAAGCCTTTAGACCTTAAATTTCTTCTTCTGCCACCATGATAGAATTTTTGCCTTTTTGATGGACTTGCGAATCGCTGGGGCGCAAGGGAAAAGCATATTTTGCTATTTTGACCTTTTTATTTTTCTTGATAAGTACATACCTTCACTAGTTTTGATGTCACATATATTTATATATACACACACCATGGTGAACCAGAAGCTAGACATCAGATCACAGAAGGCACCCCTTGGTCCTTAGTATGGTCATCTGTATAGTGGGTTATTTATATGATCATTTTGAGGCATATTTATAGAATCAAGATTCTTGATCTAACCCGAAAGACATGAATTTGAGTTTTAAAAAAAATGAAGAAACGAGACAATTTACATGAAAGTAACAAGAGAAGAAAATGAAGAAGAGAAAGAATAGGTAAAAACATGTTCCACCGAAATTTGAACTAGGGTTATTGGATTCAGGGTCAAATGTCCTAACCGCTAGTTTGTCCAGTGGGAGGGACGTTCTTATTTGTCATCATTTGTTAATTTCTTCCATCATTGTTTTCATTACTTGCACGCTTTTGGTGCGTCTTTCTTTGAGTGTTCCATCCTCCCTCTTTATAATATTGCTTTTCATTTTCTTAAACTTAAAGTCTTCCAACTTTAATACTAATCTCAATACAAGAAGCTTGTCACACTACTTGTGTTTATGTTTAAGTAGGAACATATGATTTTTGTGTAAAGATATTAATTTTTATAAAATATATTAAAATTTAACAAAAAATATATCATATTAGAGAATTCATCAAGTGACTTTGGTAGTAAAAAAAAATATTGTTCTCCTAATGTCCTCTCCATTTATCATTATTTATGTTAAACTCAAATTAAATTTATCTTTTATATAATTGCTAAATATTTAGAAGAAATAATAATAATTTTATGGTCGATTATTTACATTAGATTCAGATCCTAAAAGAGATTTAGTATGATATTTTAGTCAAAGACAATCCAATCTCATACCGAATTACAATCAACAAAAGACAAATGTTATTTACATTACAATAACTGAATTTCAGACCATCTTATCCATTTCCTACATTATCTGGACATGCCTACATTTCTTACTACTAAACACTGAGCATAATACATCGTCGTAGTCAGCTTCCTACTAATACAAAGCATAACGTCGTCGTTTTCCTTCATGTAATTACCCCTTTTACCCCCACTGTCTAGGCAGATATCCCCGAGCTCATTCGTTCTTTTGTGTAATTAGCAAGATATTTTCATGGTTCTGTTTTTCTCCTCAATTCTTCAGCGTCTCTTCCAGATTTATCTACCACTACTTGTTGGGACAAAGAAATCCTCAACACATACATGATAATCCCTAAAAATCCCAAATTCAGTTCAACCCTCAATCTCCGTCAGCTTTGTTATGAACCCTTGAAATCGGCCATCTTTTTTCTACCCCAAGTTTCCCTTTTTATTTGTTTTTTTTATCTTTCTTCGTCCCATGGCTGCTGCTGCTGCTCTTAGATCGAAACCTTCATTCGAAACAGCCTGTTTAACGGTCTCTCAATTCAGGCACTTCCTGTCAAGTTATATGCACTATGGCCGCGTGGTTACCTCCTCCAGCCGTACCAAATGGGACGACTACTTCGTCAATACTCCTTATCACTTCACTTCTTGCAGACCCTTATCGCTTCGCGCCCAATTCCTCGAAAAGGGTTCCAGTTCATTGGAAATTACTAGGAATTCTCACTCTTTGAATAATGATTTCGATAGACAACTGAGGGGGAGATTGAGTTATAATAATTCTACGGTTTTGAGCTCTCATGGGGACCCACCGGAGGTTTGGCAGCTGCCTGGAGATGGGGTTGCTATTCGGGTTAGTGGGGTGAATTTGGGCCGTGGTGGACGAGGTGGTGGAGGAGGGGCGGCTACGGGTTCTGGAGGTGGGTTTGGACCGGGTTCGAAGGATGATTGTAGGGGGGGATCTAATTTGGGGCATGATTTTCCGACTCCCAAAGAGATTTGTAAAGGATTGGATAAGTTTGTGATTGGGCAAGAGAGGGCAAAGAAGGTGATGATTGTCGGTGTTTTTGGTTCCGTTGTCATTTTTATTATTGTTGAAATGGGCATTGGTTTTCCCTATTGAAAGTAGAAACTGCATTTATCGATTAATTATTTAATAGCATTTGATCGGTTTGAAGTTATGTTCATATCATCATCTTTTATTTCTCCTGGTATTAAGCTGTTGAATTATGGTATGCGATTCTCCTATGTTGATGAGGTGGTAAATTTTGAATAATAGCACTGTTCTTAAAGCTGCATAGGATGTAAACATCCTTGTACATCAGTCTTCTGGCCTAATGTTATGCCATGAATGCAGGTTCTGTCTGTGGCAGTTTACAACCACTATATGAGAATCTACCACGAGTCATTACATAAACGGTTAGTTTAATTCCTTTGAGATATGCATCTGTTTCCCTTTTTTCATTGCTGCAATTGTAAATTCATAGAGAGAGATGGTTGATGTAGGTAATAATTAGATACATGGTTTTTCCTATGCCTGAAAAAAGAGAAAGGAAAGGGAAATATTTGAAGCAATACACAAAAACTTTTAGCATATCGAAGATACCTAGATATAGTCTACGCTTATAAATGGTGACAGCCAGTAGTTATAACTGTATTGTCTAGTGAATACAGATGCTCTGAATTGCAATGTTAGCTGTATTTCTTCTACGTGTCTCTATCTTTGAATGTGCCGTGTGTTCATGTGTATCTTAAGGAGAGTATTAGTTATTAATACGTCTCCTTGCAATGCTAGGCCTGCAGGAGATTCAGGTAGCAATATAGCAGATGTACTAGAAGATGATATAGTGGAACTGGAGAAAAGTAACATTCTTTTAATGGGGCCAACAGGGTCAGGTAATTTTTCATCGTACTTGATGTTAAAAAATGAGTATCTACTTCTATGTTTCCACACTATGAGATTTTCTTTGATTGAGTTGTGCAAGTTCTTCAGTTTTGTCTCAAAGTTTTCCTCTCTTTTTTTTAATGTGCCATTTAAATGAGGTGTGAATATTTGTTGACCTCCAGTTTTTCCATTATCATTTGAATTGTAATAATTTCTTCTTCTTCTTTTTTCAATTACTAGTCTTGCATTACCTTCTGGCTTTGTTTCAAGGACAGGGAAAACATTACTTGCCAAAACCTTGGCTCGCTTTGTGAATGTTCCTTTTGTTATTGCGGATGCAACTACCTTGACTCAGGCAAGCTGCTGACACTTTATTGTTGTAATTAAATGTCTTTGATAATTTAATGCTTTTCCTCTTATGGTGATTTTCTTTCATTTAATTAGTGGTTCATTAAACATCTTATTATTGTTAATAGAAGTGTAATAACCTTCATAGGTCATGGAATTTTTGTTTTGTTTTCAATTCTTTTGATTTCTTTTCAAGATTGTTTTTGGTTTAAAAATGCATCATTTTATTTTACTTCCATGCATTTTAACGTTGAAAGTAAACTGGGTTTTCTCTTTACTTCTACTGTCTTCCCTTCCACGACACCAAGCAAAGGATCTCTGAGAAGTACTATTTAATACCATAGCTTGATGCTCTTGCTCATTGTCCCCCCTCCATGGGATCTCTTTTCCATGCATCAGCTATATATAGACTATCATAATAAATTTATATTTAGATTCTTTTGGGATATTTTATTGATAAAACTTAGAGTGAATTAATATTTTTATATATTTCTTTTTTTGTGTGGATAAATTTGATATTATCATGTATGAAGCACAATTCTTCTACAAGTGTACTATTTTTGGTCCACTTGCAACCAGATTATTTAAGGTTGCTGCTGTAACAAATCAACCAATAATCTATTTACATTCTAAGACTTGAACTACTTTTTATTTTAACTTATCTGTTTATAAAAATATTTCCTCATTGAGTATACCACTTTGTTTGAAATTTTGTTGTTCGTATACATGTTGCATGGAACTGAGTGTTGTTCTTATGCTATATGCAGGCAGGGTATGTAGGTGAAGATGTTGAATCTATATTATACAAGCTCCTTGTGGTAAATTTCAAGAGCTTTATGTACTCTGTATGAATTAAGAGCTTTGAAGTGCAAATATTTGTTTATTTCTCATTACATTATAATGACATTGTTTTGTATCTTTACCAAAGATAGCTTTAACTTTGCATTAGATAGGTCTTCTTATGCTACACTTTAAATTAGCACTAGTAAACGTGAAAATTTTATAGTAAACCCAAGTGCATTGATGCCAGAATAATCTTAAGTTTCACTTCTTTCATTTCATGAGAAATTTGTTGGGGTTGTACTCTTATGCCTTCTGTTGATTAATTATCCTGTTCCGAATTTGTACACTTTTTTCTTTTCCAGGTTGCTGACTATAATGTTGCAGCTGCACAGCAGGGCATTGTTTACATAGATGAAGTTGATAAGATTACTAAAAAGGTTTGTTCCATCTTATTTGTAAAATCCATTTGCCTTTTATTGCTCTTGATTCATCTCTTACTTCTTGCAATGCAGGCTGAGAGCCTTAATATTAACAGGGATGTTTCTGGGGAGGGTGTTCAGCAGGCATTACTAAAGATGCTAGAAGGAACTGTAAGTTCATGGTTTACTAACTGTGGAAATATTTTATTGTAAATGGCAATTTGAAGCTGTGGCACCAGATTTTATTATTGCTTCCTTTGGTTGTAGATCGACTCCATATAAGATGAGCTTGCAAATTGTCTTGATTTCATAAGCCTACTAATCATCAATTGCAGTTAGTATTTAATCAGGTTTTTGATTTTATAAGTGATTCACCATCGTGATTTATGGAGCTCTTTTTGTTGATCCAGATTGTTAATGTTCCTGAAAAGGGAGCTAGAAAGCATCCTAGAGGTGAAAATATTCAGGTATGCATACTCAGAGTTGTAACAGCACTAGATGGGCTTATTTATGTTAGTTAATGCAGACCACATGTATAAGATATCCGTTATCATGGCAAAGTCTGTCTGATTTTTGATGGGCCATACAATTTCGTGCTCATCTCCCCCTCTATTTGTGATCACTTTTTTATTGTTTTGTTTTGATATTTTTTTCAATATTTTAACAGATTGACACAAAGGATATACTCTTTATATGTGGGGGTGCCTTTATCGACATAGAGAAAACAGTCTCAGAAAGGTTAATTCCATGTAAACAATTTCA